CCAGTGAAGCCTCCATGACCACAGTCCAGGGGACATACCCAGCACCTCTCTAAGGGAAATGCCCGTCCTCACTCCTCAGAGGGACATGCCCACGAGTCTTCTCTGTATGAACCACTAGACAATTTTTGGGATATATCATTGACTCATTTGTAGACATGTCAATGAATAGCAGTGATTTAGTGTATTTTGATCACAATGGGGCTATGGGGAAGAAAGTAGTCACTGAAACTGCTACTGACCAGCGAGACAATAGATCTAGTCATTTTCAGAATGTTCTTGATTTGGGTATGTCTATACACGATGATGGAGAAACAGATGTGAATGTAAATGATGGTGGAGAAAAGGTTCTTGATGTGAGAATATGTGATGCTAGAGATAAGGCTCATGATGTGAATGTTCGTGATGGTAGATATGGGTCTCTTTTTGTGAATGCTGATTGCAGCAGAGAAAATGTTCTTATAATGCGAATGCATATGACGGTGGAGATGAAGTTTTTTATTCCAATATGTATGATGGTAGAATTGAAGCTTTTGAGTTGTTAAATGTCACTGATCCTATAGGTGAAATTGTTGATTCCAACATGTATGATGAAGATTTGGATTTGAATGTCACTGACCAGAGAGGCAAACATGTTGATTCCAATATAACGTGTTGATAGAGGTGAGGCTCTTGTTGATCGATCATGTGGGGATGGAAACGACAGCCATAATGTGAGAATAATCAATGGAAAGAAGAGAAAGCTTGAAAGGGAAAATTGGGAGAGATTTGTGAACCCAAGAAACGTGAAGCGGGGCAATCTTATGAAGGAAGGCGATACAGGGTTTGAGAACGTTGAAAAGGATGGAAGAACTTTGGGGGAACGATGCTCTTGTAAGGTCAAGTGTAATCAGTGTTCGAATGTAACAGAAGAAGAGAGGTAAGACATATTTTATTTCTTATTGTCACTGCCCTGGCCAGAGAATTGTGTATTTTTTGCAAGGACATGTATGCAAGGTGCCAGCCAAACAGAAAAAAGCAGCGTCTGCAGCATCCTGTAGGACTACGTCTCTGCAGTATTTTCTGAAAACCAGTAGAGGCAGATTCAGGGTCTGCTGTCAGACGTTTTTGTCCACAATAGGACTCAATGAATGGTACGGTATGAGAGACACCATCGTGGAGGACCAGGTGATGGCCTATCAACAGGGAATGAGTCTTCTCGGAAACTAGCATCTGACTCTGAGGCGCTATTACATCTGCGAGCCTTCCTTAAAAGTCTGCCTAAAACGGAGTCTCACTATTGCCGAAAGAAAAGCTCCAAGCTATATTTAGAGGCAGTTTTCCATTGCAGGACCGATCTATTTCGTCTCTATGAAACAAAATGTAAAGAAAAGAAGATGGAGGCTCTTTCTCATCCAATTCTTGACGATGAATCACAGAAAATGAATCTTTCTCTTTTCAAACCGCGCAAAGATCAGTATGATCTCTGATGAAGGCAATGTCGATGAAGGCATATCTGGCTCATGGGCAGAAGAAAGAAAGGGCACAGCAAAAGATGGCAGCAGATGAGGAAATGGTCCAAAATAACGACACGACAAAGGTCATTACTGTGAATATACAGTCAGTTTTGCTTTGCCCAATGCTGAAAGCATCGGCATTATACTATAGGACCAGACTCTGTGTCCATAAATTCACAATATTTGATTTAAAGTCACATGGTGTCCAATGCTATGTCTGGCATGAGGCGGAAGGGGGCTTGTCTGCTCACGAATTTGCTTCATGCATTGTGGATTACCTGGAAAGGGATCTGTCTTTTGATAGGTACATCATCTATTCCGATTGATATACTTTTCAGAATAGAAACGAAACATTAGCCACAGCTCTTTCCATGTTCTCCGTCATGCATGACAAGGAAGTAGAGCAGAAAATACTTTAGAGGGGCCACACGATGATGGAGGTGGATAACGTCCACCACATTATCGAAAGACGAAGAGAGAATAAGAAGATTTCCCTTCCAATCGACTATGTTCGATTAATTGAAGAAGCCCGAAGAAAGCCATTTCCACACTCTTTGGAGTATTTCTCAAATTTTGAAAGTGTGAACACCCTTAGTTGCATCCGTCCAGGAAAGAAAGCTGGGGTTGCACAGTTACTGACATCAGGGCTCTGAAATACCTGCCTAAAGGAAAAATACTCTATAAACTTGGATTCGGGGACGAATGGTCAGAGTTTCCAGAGAAAGGAAATCAGTCTACAGCACAGATTGCCACTCCCAAGAAGCTGTTTTATGCCAGCAGGAGCATCTCAAATGTCAAATTCAAACATTTGCAAGCACTAAAATCAGTAATATCATCGGAATGTTGGGCATTTTATGACAAGTTGAAACAAGACTGAATCGGGAATGTCCTCAGCAATACACTTTATCAAAGCAATCAATTTTTTAAACAATTATTATACACATTTTCTTCTTGTTATCTTCACGGTGCTTGCGCAGCCCATAAGGCTGATACGGTGGAACGCTATATCTCCCCGTCTAAGGCCAATCTCTTGATCTGTCCCCATGACCATCCCTTGGACTTCATCTCCTGTTCTATGCTCCTTCGCCGTGTCTCTGGCGGGCGGCCCTCTTTTTTTGTTCCTCTGGTCCATTCTAATGACATGTCCGATTCAGCTCCACCTTTTCCTTCTCACCCACCGCAACGGATACTGGTTCGAGTTCGATAATTGTTTTTTTAGGCAGTTCTTTATTTGATATAGTTCTGGATCATTTACTTGAATAAGTCTTCTTAGGGAATTTTTTTTTGAGGGGGGGGGGGCGATGGCGCGGGGGAGGTTGAATGATATAAGATGGAATCATTTTCAATTTCTACTCGGTGATATTGAATTGATGTGTTTTTTGATTATGTAAAATGTTCTGTTATATTATATCAGTACCGTTACAGTTACAGCATTACTTTAATACAGTTGAAAATTTGCTTGAAAGAATGAACTGGCTCCTTTTCGTAATTTGTTGTGTGATTGGAAGGCTGCTCCCGTATGCTTTGCTTATTCTCACACAAGCTACACTTTGTCATTCTAAGGGTTTTCTTCTGTTGTTTTTCGTCATAGTCCTCTTACTTGTAATAGGCATACAGTCGATTTGTGTTGTAAGTGTGAAAGGGCTGGGAAATAAGAATAATATCAACCAGATGTATAGTTAATAAATCAATTAATTCGATCAAATCAATATTACTTGCAAAGTTAAATGCACCTTGAATCTATAAAACCAATCTGCCTTATTTCTTCAAAGTCCTTTGCATACTTTTTCTAATAAATAAACTGAACGATTCGTGTTGTAAACAAGTCAATAATTCCCAAGCCACATGTTAAAATAATGAAAGCTCTAAACGCGTATGGCTAACCACGGCAACCTACAGCAGACTTACGCGAGTAGAGCTTGCAAACTTTCTGCCCCAATTCATTACGCAAGTCAGCGGGTTCGATTTACGCGTTTAAAGATTTCAAATTTAGAGTCTCTAAACACGTAAGTCTGTTTTATGATTAATTTTCAAAAACAAAAGAATTTTCATATTGACAGTTGTATACATAGAAGTATTCTTTACAAGATGTAGAAAGAGCAGTACATTTGCATTCTGTTTTTACTATTTATTACGTTTTTTTGTCTCTCCTGTAAAATTTGCCTCAACGGACTTACACGTTTAGAAACTTACAGAGACGATAAGGTCATATGAGCGCCAAGGGGTGGGTGTCAACAGAGAAGTCTTTACAGGGAATCAGACTTACTCTGCTCACCTCTCTAGCTTCAACAGCACAAGGTCTGCTTCGACTATCAAGGCACCCCGGAAATAGCAGGTCACAAGAGAGTGACAAACATACAAAAGAAGTAGAGGAAATGACAATAGTAAGGATTAGGAAAGAAAAAGCAGCAGTTCCCTGTTGTAGATCAGACACAGTTATGAGCGTGACATGAATTAGCCCATTTACAATTCTACTGTGCTTAAACGAGAAATGTCCTCCTTTTGGGAAAGGCCTAAAGACACTACAGTCAGTGGCACTGCCCCAGGGGGAGACAATACAACAGTAACATAAATATTGTGTTCTGACGAAAAGAAAATCTCTCTAAATATTCATCTCATTAATTTAAAAACAGAAATGACTTCTGCTGATATCTGAATGAATCAAAGGATTTGATCTCACGTAAAATACTTGGCAAAGCATTCCAGATCAGGGGGCCTTGATATTAAAAAAACATACAGTTTATTGGTTAAACCCTCTTGAGGCTTCGCTTATGACCTTCAGGCGCTATTCTTTTTGAGAAAAAATTCTCCACAAGCAAAGCACTTATGGTTTGTTTAGCAAGTGTCAATGTCAGGAAAGGAACATCTTGATCTTCTTGCTGCCTCTGCCTACCTAGATAAACATTAATACCCAGACAGGATGGAAACAGAACAAGCACCCTAATATACAGTGGAGTCTGCATACATACACCCAACATGGTTAACCCAAAAACAGCGATAAACCGAAAAAAAAAAAACGATTTTTTTTTCTTCTATTTGAGCAACCACCCTAAAGCAAAAACCCATCTAAACCACATGAAAATTCAGCGGTCACACAGATTTCGATTTAAGCATACTCCACTGCAATATACTTACTTTACCAATCCAGCCCTTTGACCTGTTGCAATATAGGCTACTTACAATAACAGGTTTGGAATAGCCTTCCAAAAACTATCAGAGAAGCAGAAAATCTTAAAATTTTTAAGAAGAAACTAAAAGCATTTTTTTTTCCATCATATTTCGATTAGACAGAATCCATCCAAGCTGTAGATCGTTGTGAGTTTGTATTTGCATATGTGCGTATGTACGTATATGTGCATGTGTGTATGTATGTGTGTATGTGTGTGTGCGTGCATGAGTATGTGTGGACACGCGTATGTAACACTATGTGCCTTTAAAATTGATTTGTAAATCCATAATATGTATCACGTTAAGCGCATAGAGCACTGCATAAGTGGACATGCGCTATATAAATGCAATCCATTTTTATTATTTTATTATTAACAGAAACAGAAACATCAAATTCTAACGATCATCAAACATTCTCTGCTTCCAACTCCTCTTTCTTCCTCTTCTTCGCCTCCGGCACGACCGAGTCAGACTCGGTTGTTGACTTGTCTTTGGAGTCTTCAAGACTTTGACTTCTCTGAGACACCAGCTCCTTACACCAGTTTTCCGCAAACTCCGTGGTAAATTTGAAAGTCTCTGGCGAGAGAAATTTTTTATTTCAGTACGAGTTTTACTGAACTTGCAGCCCCCCACCCTTAACACCTCTCTAGGATGTATCCTCTCTGTACATGAACACATCCACTTTGCATGCTCCAATAGCCGCCCGTTGGTCATTGTAAAACACAGGAAAGAAGAAAGGTATGAAGATGAGATGGCAATAATATAATAGTCCAACCTCCCCTTATGGCAAACTGTCCAAGACAGTCACCTGTACAAATGACCACTTCCCACTTCCTCCCTCGCGTTTCTTATACGAGTATACAGTGGAACTCGGATTTAACTAGCTCGGATTCAACAAAATGAGATAGATTCCCCGTTCTTTTTCTTTTTAAAATCAATAAAAATAACCCGGATTCAACAAGCACTTAAATCAGCCAGCTCGGATTCAACGAGGTCGCTTCCAGGGTGAACAACCCCCGCAGTCGTGGCTTCACTCATTTTTCTCCTAGAACGAATTTTATCTATTCCCGAAAACCATCCATTGCACCTGCATTGTGAACAATTGCCATTATTCACTTAGCCGATGGCATGCGACCAATCAGCGGCCTTTTCCCATACCAACACATGCGCTGTTGGCATGCGCACGTGTATACTCTGGTGTGTGTCAAGGACGGACGGACGGACGGGCGACTTGCACACGTGCAGCTGTGTGTGCGTGTTGGGGAGGGGCACTAGTGGTCCGGGCGTTGAACGTCGAAGATACAAACGCGTCACAGTCTTTTTTTTTCCCTCGGCAACTGATCATTATTTCTTGACGTTGATCTACGTAATGAATTGTGCGCTGGTCTGTGGAATCAAAAGTTGCCATATGCTACTAGGAGGAAGAGGAGGGGGCAGAGAAGGAGAAAGAGGAGGAGGAAAAGAGGATAAGGAGAGGGACGTGCTGGTCGAATACATAATACGAAAAAATCGACAGACAAATGGTGAAAAGCAATCAGTACACGCCCTCTATAATATTTCATTGGGGTTCTGAGGCGCTAGGCTCTACACAGCAACACAACTTTTTGGTAAACAATAGAGATGACACAGGCGTGTGCATTTGAATGAATCTGTCTTTTTTTTTACACAGCTCATAATATGCAGGCATTTCAAGCACTACTTGTGACTTCTCTTTATACATTACTTGCTCAGTGCCTGTAATTATCTACACAAAACCTCGTGTTTGCTATAACGAACACTCGGATTCAACGAGATTTTAGGTCAGGCCCGGCGACCTCGTTGAATCCGAGTTCCACTGTAATATGATAATGACACTGTCCAAGACCTGTAAAGTGCCTTACTTTCCCAATGACGCAATGTCAGGCCCCAGACGGGATTTGAACTCATAGTACGTGACCCCAGTGTTTTCTTGTCAAATTTCCATTTTTAACAACAGTGAAAACAGTTCATAACAAAGAGAGAGCCTAAGATGATGTCACATTTTTACTGTTTAAAAAAATGGAGATATGACAAGAAAGCACTGAAATCGCGATATCTTTACGGCTGCAGGTCCAAGAGCCTTACCACTAGGCCACAGACGCCAATAGAGAATGCACCGTCCTGTTGTCACTTCCCACTACTCACCCCGCGTGTGATCGAAGAACTCCTGGAGGTGTCCCGGCTTTTTGTGCATCTCTTCATACTCGTAGGCTTGGAACAACATCTCCAGTTTGTCCATATCCTTCACAAATTTGGCCTCTGGGCTTTTCTGATGTTCATACTCCTGTAAAAAAAAACCCAAAAAACCAAATAACAAGCAGATTTTAATAGAAAAGACAAATTATTTTACCCCTGCAGAGTGGTTGGGTTTTTTAAATTATTTTTTTCAAGCTATAGTAAAAATTGTACGGCTCTCGCAATACAAATACAGGTAGACGTCATAAGTGCCAAATATTAAAGCAGTTTCTTTTTTTTTTTAAACAAATGAAGAGAAAAAGGAGGAGATCTATGGACAATGGATGTTTGATGGGAAAGAAGGAGCAAACCATATCAGAGCACCCATGAACCATCCACACTTTGTAGGGAGATCTGTTTTTATAACAACATACATAACAATCAACAAAATATAACACAGTAATAGCTGTAGTAAGCCACTGCTTGTTGCAAAACCCTGTTAATCATAATGATGATGAGTATGATAATGAAAACACTTTCCACATTTCTGAAAATCTCCAATATATTCAGTTGCGAGCGCCGTTGAATTCTTACAAAATTAAAGGAAAAATGACAGGTTAGTTAAGACCAAAAAAAACCAACTACATACCAACCACAAATTGTACATCTCCTTTCCTCCTTCACCAGGGATTAAGCTAGTGATTCTAGAAGTAGCTTCCTAGGAATAAAAAAAAAAGCAAATTGTAATAAAAGGGCCACTTTGACAGACCAAGACATTTGGGAAGATTTTCAACACCACCACAATTTATACGAAAAGATAAGGTGGGTTTTTTTTAGATAAAAATATGAAAAATAATTTGTTGAATTTTTAATTGATTTTTTTAAAAATAATAATAATAAATAGCATTTGTATAACGCAAATTCCCACTCAACAGTGAGCTCTCTATGCGCTTTACAATCTATATTATTATCCCAGCATACCTGATAGATTTCTGAAACAATCCCAATTACTTCCAGGGAAGCATACAGTGCAAGCTGGCATTTTACACGAACTAAAACATTAAAATACTGACAAGATCTTTCGCTGTCTCTGATACACTTGTTAGTTAGAGTTTTACCCCTTGATCCCTGGGCTCCTGATCCTAATTTTACTCAAATCCTGGCCTCCTGAGTTTCTGGGTTCAGAGAGAGAGCACTTCATTATGAAAAATACTCAGTAAATCAACACAGAAAGGATCAAAACATGTGTGAAAGGCAACGGACATGTTGGCATCCCATAATAGTATGTTGACAGAAACTAGCATTCTAGATTGGAAATAGTTGCCTTTAACTGCCCGACAATTCAGCACTCTCTCTTCACACCCATGTACCAGTGAAATGGATTATAGTTGCTGAAGCGGTACCGGTGCTATGAACTCAAAGGGTTAAGGATCCCATGTCAGAATCTCCACAACTTCCTGTCTAGTACGATCAAAGGGAATAATCGTGCCAAAAGGTCAAGGTATTGAAAATGAATACTGCATTTTTTAAACTTTAACCTGTGTGTAAATTTTCTATCTACAGCTCATCTTCGTAGGACCCTACCTTCCTGCCACTTGAAGTATTGACCTACTCATGAGTCTATTTACTTAGCTCCTCCCTTCTCTTACCTCATAGTTATCAACATCATCATCATTATTATTATTATTATTATTATTTATATATTCAATGTGACCATATTTCATTCAGCATTTTCAGCACATGCATCATATGATATCCAAAAAAAGTTACCGCAAAGTACGTCATAATTCTGTAAACCCAATCTTTATGTTTTGTATAATCTCAAACTTTTATTTTTTTTAAGCAACAAAAGAAGTAAAGAACTACAAGACAAGTAATCTGGTTGGGGTGGGGGTTAGACGAGAACTGACCTCTTCCCTTCGGCTCTTTTCCTCTTTACTGACACCACACCAGGGAGTTAGGTCCCCAACAACACTCTCAGCCATGTCGTGAACCAGCGCTATTTTTATACATCTGGACAAACGGAAAAAGAAAACAAAAGACAAAATGTTAGCAGAAAGAAAAGGGTGTCAAATCCAACAAATTATGAGTCCAGAAGCAATAATTTTCATAGGCAAAAGGTATAAAATGTTAATGAAACCTTTTGACAATCCTGAAATATTTTAAACCTATAGAATGATACACTTAAAAAAAAAAAAAAACACACACAGTTATATGTTTACCTACAATCAGTCACCGGTCAATATTGATGTAATTGTTTGATTGAAGATTTATTGATCTTGACTTCAACAAAACATAGGCTTTTCTATCAACATTATTTCATACCTTATATGAATCAAAAGAGTAAAAAAATTAAATTGTTAGTGTGTAAAACAGTTTTCTGCCACAACATGATTCCCATGAAAACGTCCACATCACAATTTCTTCGAACATTCTAATGGAACCATCCACATACACCCATGTGAAAACCCTGCTTATACTACAAAACGTAAGCAGTTCTTTATTGAAATTGTTTTTAATAACCTACAAAACAAAAAAACAACAACCCCAAATCATGAGACTTATCATTTATTTTGTCTTGGAGGAGACAGGCAGAACAAGATTTACCTGCATGCATTTGTAAGAAAGTTAAAACTAATCAGCTCATATCGTTGACAAATTGTGATCTATGTAACTTACTTGTCCTTATCAAGGCCTGAGTCTGAAGGCAGAGCAAAAGACATCATTGCCATTCGATACATGTGCTCCGCAACGCTCTCTGGGTCTTTCACACCATTCCGCACCCAGCCAGTCCGCTCAACTTGCTGAAAAAGGGGACAAAATGAACTTCAGTGATAGAAAACAATCTACAACTAGAATTAAAGATCAAAGAGTAGGGAATAATATATTGTCAAGAGAAAGCATATTATTTTTTTCCTGACGCAACAATTCTAAGACAGGATGTGGCAGCCAATAATCCCTTCTTGTACGTACCAACTAGTACAAAAACACATTAGGTTAGGCTGAAATGAAGACTTCATACTTCATATGTATGTGTGTTGCATTATGGTGAATCCAGACGCTTGTCATAATAATAAATTCAAAGAAACCAACATTTTTTTTAGCTTTCTGGGCTTTCAACACCTTTAATTTATGTCCACTTGAAAATACATTAAATGTATGGATTATACTGAAAAACGTTGGAAAAAGGCACAAATATAGTAAATTCAATTAAGATTTGCAGTTTCCAAGGGGTCATACTAAAGACACGAAAAGATATGAAAAGATGCGAAAAGACATTTGATTTGTGTCCCTTCAGAATTCAGACTCATTTTCAGGGTTACTTTTTGATCAAAATTGGGGTAACCCTTACCATCTACAGTCCCTACAAGTTTGTTTATATTCCGTTATGACGAACATCCGAGTCTTCCAGATAAATGTCAGATTGGTGCAGGACCTCTTTTCCATGTTTCATAATTTTCTTTTTTGTCGCCTTACAATAATTATTAATAAAACTATATTAATTATGTAATTATGGTGATAGGACTTTCCTTACTTTATAGCTCTAGGTACCACTGTGACAAGTGGAAAATTATGTTGTTAAACGCATTTTGTGGACTTTTGCCATGCAACTCTCTCTACATTAATTCTTTTTTTTTTTGACAAGTGTTTTACTGTCTTACAGTGCTTACAACTGCATCATAAAGTCATATGAGCACGCAGGACATCCGCATCTTTTCGTCATGTCTTTTCATGTCTTTTCGCACTTTAGTATGACTGGTTTCCAAGGACACTCACTCAAGTTTTGGAAGTCACAAAGCTTTGGACGGTGGCCAATTTCTTGCTAATTTTACCTTTAATACTTAGCTACCCCACCTCCTTCAATTGCATATATATATATATATATATATATATGTCAACTTCTATTCAAGATAACAGAGTATTTTTTAACCAAAAGCAAGCCAATAAACAAGCTTTTAAAAGTTTGAACCAATTACTGATTTACTGTGCCCAAAAATTAACAAGTGCCTAATTCCACTGTGTCGTGAGTCACATTCACATTATTATAATATTATAATAACAAATGACGGCGTCGTGTACATGATCAGGAAAAATAACTTCTGCCCCACCTGTATAAGGTAAAAACAAGTTTGTCCAACGGCAGTCATATATATATGTCTTAGTGGGCCCCTACCACTCAAAAAATTACCACTGAATCCTCTCCATCTCTTAGCAAACTTTCCAGACCTGGTTATCTCTAAATCTAGAGAACCAAGATATATAACTCTATATAATATGAATTTATTAATCATGTTTTAGTTTGAAGTTTTAGTAAAATAATAAATAATGGATTGCATTTATATAGCGCATATCCACTTATGCAATGCTCTATGCGCTTAACATGATACATAAATATAATGGATTTACAAATCAATTTTAAAGGTACATAGTGTTACATACTCATGCAAACACATATTCACTCACGCACGCACCACACACATATACATACTCACATACACACATACATACATATGCACATACGCACATACAAACTCACAACGATCTACAGCTTGGATGCATTCTGTCTAATCGAAATATGATGAAAATAGAAATGACTTTAGTTTCTTCTTAAAAATTTCTAGATTTTCTGGTTCTCTGATAGTTTTTGGAAGCCTATTCCAAACAAGTGGGGCAAAATATGAAAAAGAGCGTTGGCCATATGATTTGAAATTTATTTTAGGCTTAACAAGGGTTGTTTTGTCACTAGATGATCTGAGCGTTCTAGGAGGCACATAGGGTGTTAAAAGCTGTTTTAGATAGTCCGGTGATAAATCATTTAAGCACTTGTAGCAAGTTAAACAGATTTTATATATGATACACTCTTTCACTGGGAGCCAGTGTAATGCTTTTAAAATAGGAGTCACATGATCATGCTTTAGTTTTTTAGTAATTATTTTGGCAGCAATATTTTGTACTCTTTGTAGTTGTTGTAACTGTTCATCAGGTACACCAGCCAGTAAGGAATTGCAATAATCAATCCTTGACAATATAAGTGATGTTATTAAAGTTTTGGTGACACCAACAGATAGATATTTTCTAATGCTCCCTATTTTCTTCAGCTGGAGATATAGATTTTTACAAAGATTGGACACGTGGCATTTCATTGACATATCTTGATCTAGCACCACATCTAAATTTCTTATTTTAGTTTGGGCTGATATTTCGTGGCCATTGATGTTTATTCTGATATTGTCGATTTCATTGCATGCGCTGCTACGAACAAATAAAGGTTGTACAGCACTCGCAACCTGCATTATAGAGGTCATATGAGCACCAAAGGATGGATGTCAACAGAGACAGGGAATCGGGCTTACTCTGCCCACCTCTCTAACTTCAACAGCAGAAAATCTGTTTCGACTATCAAGGCACCCCCGAAATAGCGGGTCACAAGAGAGTGACAATACAAAAAAGTAGAGGAAAAAATGATGAATAAGTAAGGATTAGGAAAGAAAAAGAAGCAGTTCCCTGTTGCAGTTCAGGGACAGTTATGAGAATGACATTGATGAATCAGCCGATACAAGTACAATTCTACTGTGCATAAGAACAAGTTAATCATTTTTTAAAGTACCCCCTTTGGGAATGGCTCTAAAGACACTTTCAGGAGCACTGCCCACTGGGAGTTGAATTTATCAATGAATTAATTAATTCACAGTGGCTACGTCCACGGCGCCGCGAATGCAGTTTGCAAGCGCTGTTGAGGCTATGTTCACGGCACTCAAGCTTCATTTAGACATAGCGTCCACGTTGCCGATTTAAGTAAGCCGGTTTTAGTCTAGTCAGTGACGACAGTGACGTATAATTTATATTTTGGCCTGCTTCAAGCGCTCCATCCCATGAGAAGAAGGAAAACGAAGCCCCCTTACAGAAATAAAGTCGGGATATGGGACATGGAAAATTGGATATTTGGTACATGGGAAACAAGAGGTGAGAGATGGGAAACAGAAGGTGGGATTTGGATAGGACCAGGGGCGGTTTGTTAACTGGGCAAGACCGGCCACCGGTCAAATTTTTTTCAGCTGGACTGTTGACAGGAGATTTATTGCTGATTATGATTTTCATTCAGTAAATCTAAATAAACATGTATCAACATTCAAAAGAACTTAGCCGATTTGAAGGCGCTCAAATAGACAAATGGGATTCACTGCTGTTTATTAGTCGCGACAGAGCCTCATTCCTTCACGTTTGTTATCGCGCCGGCTCATAACTTTAAATCATCTCCCCTCCCATCAAGCCGTCACGTCGCGGAACTTCATAGGCTACTACGTACGAGGCCAAACACGCAGCGGGCTTAAGCCTAGCGATGACGTCAGTCCCATGGACAAATCCATCGACAGCCCTCAGAAAGAATAGAAGGGCATCCCTTAATTGCCAAATTGGCCTCTTTGTAGCTTACAAAATTAAGATTCAGACTGTCTTGAGCAGCACAGACACATGTATTATTTTATCAGCAAAACATGTATTTATCATTCAGCCGTTCTATAACTACTATCAGAACATTTATTGTTAGCATGGCACTAATCTCTTTTGTTTATTGACTTTTTAACCACCTATAACTTTCCTGTTTGACATTTACACATCGTTTTGTCCCCACTAATAACCAGTGGCGGTGGGTGGACTAAGATTTGGGTGGGGCTTAGCAGGTTTCTTCCACTTCTTTACCACCAAAAAGCAAGCAATAAGAACAAAATGTGATGATTTTTCTATACTCACGGCGAGCCACGGCATTTTGAGAACCATTCAAATGAGAAGAGTCACCTTTGTCTTCCATCTCTTTGTTCTTACTTAAATTTAAGCTCTTCTGGATGGTTGGGACGAAGCCGTTTCACCTTCAAATTTCTCTAACTAGTTTTTATCTGAAGAAAAAGTTGCCTCAAAAGTGGTTTGATGAAATTTGTTAAATCTCAGTGGCACAAACACACAGCACTCCAAACACATACCGTCTATGAGGTGGATTGGGTCGTGTTGTTGCGGAAAATAGAACGCGCCTAACATTAACAAAGGCCCAATGGGCGCATAGGTATCTGTGTCACTGGGGGAAAGTGTGTCGTAAACTTTCACCCCATTGTCAGGGCTGGGAGAGCGTGAGCCCTCTGTGCAGTGTTATTTTTTTAACGTCTTCTACCTTTTTACAAGAAGAGTTTCATTAAAGACGGGCGTGGGAACCGGCTTATTCTTTCTGAGCCCTAACGACATTTGATTGGCTGTTAGGTTACTATAGTTGTAAGCGGTGACAACAATGATTGGACAAACGGGAAAGCTGCCAAGCTGATAACTGTGTGTTCATTGCGCGCGATCATAACGGTTTCAACTGCTTATTTCGTTATCTTAGAAACTTTCATTAACTAAGGGATAGAGTTGGGGTGGGGACAGGGTGGGGGTGAGGGGCTCAAGCCCGTAAGCCCTTCACTACCCACCGCCACTGCTAATAACTTACCTGGCCCATAGGAGTCTGGCCGGCGGAAGGAGGAATTGTCTAGTGAAGATATATATATAAGGAGAATTTTAACAAGGAGCGATAGGCACTCGGCTGTCAGAGTCTTGGCCAGGCCTACCCCCTCCCTTCCCTTCCCTTTTCCATCGTCACCCCAGCTAGACACCAAGTTCTATAATTAGCATTTGACACACTTCCCCACTTTGTTACAACACAGTGTTCTGTTCTGAGAAGTGAGAAGTGCGATGAAGTACATTTGATGATATAATGATCGGAAACTGTTGTGTGCTAACTTTGTCCAGCTTTGTATACTATATGATTGTAGACTTGATCTGCTTGGGACAGCGTCACTGGTACAGTATCAATTGACTTTTTGTCATCATACAGGACAGTTCTTATTACATATAATTAACGGGTCCAGTGCACGTCGATATTTTGTGTTTGGGTGTAGAAAGTACGAGTAAAGTACTAAATACTGAAGGCCAGGACCAGCAGTTTATTGCCTCTCATTTTCAGTTTGTTTTCTGGCCTACTAGTGTTTCTTTTTCTGTGCCGATCAAGTCAGTTTCCATTAATCTCAGTAACTTCCATCATACGTTATTCATAATATTGTTCCTTGACACTACCGCATATTTTAGCTCCTTCACATTATATTACAATGTTTACAGTGGTGTGTGCATGTGAGTGGGGGAGGGGGTGGGGATGGCGAAAGTAGGGGTATAAAGTAAGGAGAGAAAGAGAGAGAGAGAGAGAGAGAGAGAGAGAGAGAGAGAGAATGTGTGTGTGTGTGTGTGTGTGTGTGTGTGTGTGTGTGTGTGTGTGTGTGTGCGCGCGTGTGTGTGTGTGTGTGTGTGTGTGTGTGTGTGTGTGTGTGTGTGTGTGTGTGTGTGTGTGTGTGTGTGTGTGTGTGTGTGTGTGTGTGTGTGTGTGTTGTGAAGGAAAGGGGTGGGGGAGGGAGAAATAGTCGACGTGAATGTCGGCAGGTCAGTTCTATTATAAACCACGAGCCGCCACTGGATAGGACTGGTCATAAACTGTGTACAAAATAATCATGACTGTATTGCACCGGGTCAGGCTGGGAACCGACGCAGAGAGAAAATGACGGGAATCAATTATTTATTCTTATTATTATAAAATAACAAACACCCTCTCTCTCTATTTCTGTCCGTCTTTTAAAATCTCTCTCTCTCTCCCCCCCCCCTTCTCTCTCTATTTTTCTGTCTCTGTCTGTCAGTCTCTCCCTTCCTTTCTTCCCCCCCCCCCCCCCTCTATCTCTCTCTCTCACAGACACACACACACTGCCCGCAGACAAAATTGCACGCTATCAACTTTGAGAGTGCATGAACGTTAGTTTATACTCGTATATATATATATCACGGGCCGTCATGCTCTAACACAATGTCGTGCCCAAGTCTCACCCGGACGTGAGATAGGGTAATTTATACAAAGTGTATACAGACCCGGTAACCGGGAACAAAGTCACGAAGTATGCAGACCCGGTAGGGGAACTTTTTTGTGATTTCGGAAAGTTTACATTTTTGTCATTATATCCTAATTTAATGCGTTGTTGCGTAATTGAGAATTCGTCGTTTTCCCTTACACTGGTGAGCTCTGAGCCAGAACTCAGTGTAAGGGAAAACGACGAATGGTCGATCGGTCAAGGTCAAGGATCACTGCATTGTTTTCCTTCATCTCATGGGACGAAACGCTTGAAGCAGGGATGAGAATAGTGCAGGCGAGTCTTTTGGCTATTCTCACGCGGTGCGCGTTTACCGTTATAGCCTAGATCTAGGCCAACAAATTTTGCTTTCACCCTAAACCACAGAATTCTACACGGTGATAACAGATAGAGAGTATTCCAAAATGAGGAAAAGCAGGTCTTGTTTCGCACCGGGTGAGAATAGCCTACGCTGGCAAGTCTCACCCGGGGTGAGAGGTAGATCGTTTTTCTATTCTCACCCCGGATGAGAATAGCCACTTCCCCAAAATATATATTATTATATAGGCCTATGAATTATGTACACGATAATACGTCACTGACTAAAACCAGCTGTGGACGCTCCGTCTAAACGAAGCTTGAGAGCCGTGAATGTAGCCTCAACAGCGCCTGAATGCAAACTGCATTCACGGTGCCGAGAACGTAGCCACTGCGTAATAATTCATTCATTTCATTAATTAGACGGGCTGCAGTGGGCAAGTTAAAGTTAAGTCAGTTACCAAAGATTGTTACTACTAAACTAGATCTAGATCTATATCTAGATCTAGATCTAGAAGTTAAGTAGAGAATCTTTGAGATAGCTGCTGGTACTGTTTCGTTTTATTTTAAGTTTAACCATTCCAGTCAAGATTAAGATTCACTTCAAGCAAGGCCAGAGACAGAGACGGTCACGGTGTTGTGCACATGCCGTTAAACTTAGAAATGACGCATCTTTCTTCTGTGACTGTGGGAGAAAGTTTTTCGGCATTTAAATCTTTTACCTTTAGCTGACCAATCAGTTTCATATATTCTCTGAACTTCACGATATTTGATGCCATTCTGAATGTCACAAGCTTGTCAGATAGCCTCCTAGGGCACTACCAATCAACGTCACAGTTTTATAATGGTTTTCTCTCGCAGCATCAGTCAACACAATCAACTTTCGCTTTCTCAATCGCACCTTGCGTGTTGTTGTAATTTAAAAGGAGTTGAGAGTTATCGGCCTTCACCAAGCAAGATGGCTGCGTCCTTGGTTCGCCGTGTTTTGTATTCACCCCCAACGACGTTGGTTTATCAGAGATTCCTTGGTAGCAGAAAATTATTTCATACGTCTGAAGATAATTCCGATAAGTCCAACCACAGTTCATCTACTCCGGGAGAGGAAGCTCTCGATAAATTTGCGAAAGTGGTCGAAAAAGTGAAGCAAGCTCAACAAAATGAAGGCAATGTCTCCTCCGCCTCCACTGCTGAATCGCAGTCTCCAACCACTGCCGCTGATCCAACTGAGTCTTTTGCAAGCATGCTTCGAAAGTCTAAGTTGGTCTCCCTTGGAGAATACAAGGACAGACTTGTAGAAGGGAAAATCATTGAAGTCATGGAAGATGATTTGTATATTGACTATGGTGGAAAGTTCCATTGTGTTTGCCCAAGGCCAAAATGGAATGGCGAGTAAGTTACAGTTGCGGGTTACGCCCATACTTATACACGTCTACTGTTGTTACGTTGCTGGTAGAGTCTAGATTCTAGCTGTAAAATTGTTGTTTGTTTTTTTTGTGTTTTTGGGGAAGGACTTCCGTAACGAGCGACCACCCCATCAAATACAATAAAGAAGAGGCCTAGACCTAACTAACCCTAACCCTAACCCTACCCTTAACCATACCCTACCCTTACCCCTACCCCTACCCCAAGCCCTCAATTCTGCTCTGTCTCATAGTGGTCGCTCGTTACGGAAGTCCTCCCATTTTTTTGGATGTGTTGACAGTATGAATATCTAAATCTAGATTCTAGATCTAAATCAGTTTAATGCTTGATCCTGTTCTGGAGAATCTGAGATGTGAGAAATTATTTCAAATGCATGTAAATAAAGGCTAGTAAGTTTCACTAGAACTATGGTGCGACTATTCAGCGGATAGCTAGAGAACGTCGATAACTAAACGCCACTGGCCAATATTTATAGTAACAGCTATCTTGTTTAACCTCGCAAAGGGGATACAACCCACCGTGTCATCTGATAGTGATTATTTTGCATAGCTTGCGGTTTGCACTGGCCCTGGCCTGGCAGTTTCCAAGCATTCCCAGTGGTTCCCCCTAATACACTGTATTTGCACCTCACGCTATCCATTTGCAAACCTTGCAGTCTCGAATTATTCCATTTGCTGCTCAACGTCCTATCCTATTGAGTCCAATCTCTTGTAAGTGCTTTAAAAGTTCTTCAAACAAGTGCTTAAAAAACTTTGAAATAAATTATCGAAGTGACTATTTCTCCGAACGTTCGGAGAAATAGTGCCGATCTTTATTTCTCCAAACGGTTTCCGGCTTCCGCTCTGGTCATGATTGTTTGCCTATTTGCGAGAGTTCGGCGCCAACTTTCATTCCGTCATTCTGCGAGGTCTGGGAAGGAGCAAATCAAAGGTGGTATCTGTTCTCAGCTTCTCCTCCGGCCGTGTGCCCACTGGTTTAGCGAGGCGGGTACTGCCTGAGGCACCCGAGAGACGGAGAAATCTGACCCTCTTTTCTATTGAGTGGACGGTTATCGTCCATTTAAAAAAAAAAACGGAGCAAATTTTTGAGTTTAGATCTATTTCAATTTTCAAGAGCTAGATCTAGTCTAGAGATTTTTAGATGAGTGTAAAAACGTGAAAAAGAAAGGTTTCACAACAGAATGAAATCAAAACTAGAACAGCCCAGAAACAACCACAACAATTAACAAATAAGGGCGTGTGTCCACCTGTCCGAAGAAGATTGACCGTTTTAACCCTAAATGTGCGTAATTTGTTTTAAAAAGTACAGGATATTGCATGGAAATTATGGAATCACACACAGGAGGCCTGCCAGTGTCAGTACATGTAATTGGTTTTGGTGGAACGCTCTAACATAGCACATTTAAATCTATACAGGTATATATATTTAGAATCTAATGAAGGTAGGAACATCAAATTAAATGACGTTACACAATACCTTTTGTAGGAACATCAAATTAAATGACGTTACACTATACAACCCCCCCCCCTTTTCCCCAACAAAAAAAAAATTAATAGAAAAACAACACATCAGAACAATAACAAGAAAAAAAAATACACACCAACAAAATATAACACCACAAAGAGGGAAAAATAAACGAAAAATAAAAGAGGAACAGCAATACAAATCGTATGTAACTGTAACGTATTCAACAAATCAACGTGGTGACAACAAGTGAGAAAGAGACGAAGTGAAGCTAAGTGAACTTTCTTTTAAAAAAAAAGAGTTTCATTTTCTTTTCTTTTTTTTTGACTTTTTCGGGGACCAAAAAATCGAGCCACGATTGATTGGTCGCGGCCTCGACAAACGCAGATGCTAGCTCTATGTGTCGTTATCAATAACCCTCCATAGATCTAGATCTAGACAGCTCACGAGTGAACGCAACACATTAAGTTTAAGAGCAGCACCCTTCATAGGCCACACGTCATATCTGTAGCGAAAAACTGTTTGGAACTGTAGCATTTCTTTATATAAATACGGACATTTTTTGGACCGATTGAACCATATTGTATACGAACAATCTTTGGTAGGCCTATAATATAATTATAGATCTATATTTTATTTTTATTATCTGAAATATGCGGGAAAGGGTGTGATTTCAGAGTGTTCGGAGAAATAGTGCCCAGCTTTATTTTCCCGAACGTTCGGAGAAATAGTGCCGGCCATAAATTATCCTTTTCAAAACAGCCGATCATTTGCACTGCGTCGTTGAACTTTGTTTGAACTTGCTTTAAATCCAAATTGAAATAGCCCTACTCGTAGTCTTCTTCTCAGTTTACATAGTGTGTACAGCATCAGAATCAATTTGGGCAGAAGAAGGGTGCTGCACAATCACAGACAAGGAACCGAACAGTTCTGCAAGTTGCAAAGAAAATAATCCGAGTCGTCAGGCTGCCGTCGTGCAGTTGTGTTGCCACCATGACTGACAAAGTGGGAATCCCTAAATGACATCAAACAAGATGGCTGTTACTATAACTATTCGCCAATGGCGTTTAGTTGTCGTTCTCTAGCTATCCACTTGTCTATTCGGACATGGACACGATCGGCCTGTGGAGTCTCAGCCCTGCGCCGCCCGCCCCCCCCCGCGGTGGAGATTGGTTTTCAGCATCCTCCAACGCCGATCGCACATTTCCCGGCCACAGCAATTTTATGCACCTGCAAAGATGCATTGGTCCTAATAGAAAGAGAAGCAAGTCATTCTCAAAAAGAAAACGAATTGGCTAGCTGTACAAGACTTAAGTATGGCTGGCATGCTAATCTAGCAGTCATCATTAAGTACGGCTAGCCTGCCAGTTTAGCCCTATTGACCGAAATGTTGAGTACACAGGTCTCATTATTTGTACAGTGGACTCCACTTATAACGAGCCCTGAAACAACGAGAAGTCTGCTATAAAGACACTATTCTGAAACCCCGTTTTTTTCCCTTCTTTATCTTTGTAAATAAAATACTGCTATTGCGCAATCAGACAGTCTCGCGAGTCAGTTATTATAGCGGATTAATGCTGCTGCTGTACACAGCACACAGACCAATTAAACATATATAAAACCTCGCCAGTCGAGAAAGTTGTTGGTGATCCAGCGAAACAAAGAACGGGAGAGCCCACGCGAACCAACAATGAAGGCCAGAGCGAATGAGTGGGGAGGGTGTGGCATTCGCAGACAAGCAGAACGCTTCGCGTGATAGGCCAGCCCAGTCTAGATTATCTAAGCCTACCGTGCCTCTCACTTCTCTGGTGCGGGATGGAGAGGTCACAATGCTGTGATAGATGGAGTGAAATGTGTGACGTGCGCAAGCAGACGCAACGCACCTCAGGGTGTGGTGGGGTGGGGAACAACACAGCGGGCAAGTTAGCCTAGAGCCAGAGCCCCTTCTTTCTGATCGCCAAAGCCGATTTGTCAACATTGCTAGTTCTAGAGAAAGAAACCTGATTCAATTTTTGATCAAGTAAGACCTAGAAATCATGTTGAACAAAATCATCATCTGGGGAAATACAAAAAGGAATAAACAGAACACCAAAATCATAGATTAGGCCTACTTTACTATTTCCCTTGAATTTATTACTGGATCCCTAATAACGAGAATCCTGCTATAACGGACATTTCGCACCGGTCCCCTCCCTCTCGTTATAACAGTATTCCACTGTATTTCAGGTTTTATAAGTTTTAAAATATGGCTAACTTTGTTCTCGCCTGGGGTGAGAATATGTAGGCCTCTTACCTGGGGTGAGAAAAGCGCAGTTGTAGGCCTCTCACCCGGGGTGAGAGGTCAAATCTTCTGGCTATTCTCACCCGGTGTGCGTTCACCGCTTTGTGCATCAACTCAGGCAGCACTCCGGATGAGAGGACGATCAAACCTTTTGGCTATTCTCACCCAGTGTGCGTTTACGGTGATACCAGTGTAAACAAACATTCCAGCGCTCTTACCTGTGTTGAAAGCATGCAGTTTTGTCTGGGGGCAGAGAAAGAGGAGGGGGGTGGGGGATGAGGTCATTGCAGTAACACTCATCTTCTTTTCCTGGAGATATAATATTTTGTATTTTTTTCTTTTTATCGTTTATTTCATTGTTTGAATTTCCCCTTTCTATTTTTTTACGACAAACTATCGCCGTCGCTGTTTTAGTTCTAGAGTTAGTTATCATTTAAACAACATTCTTTTTCTTTTTTTAAATGGCTACCCTCAACAGAAACTTTTTCACTTAGCATGACTTTCAGACGGATGAAAACACGAAATCTAGATGTTTTGGCAATAGTTGCACTTTCATTTTTCTAATTTTTTCTACGAATGTTGTAATAATTTGCAAAGACCATAGATCTACATACGAGTAGATTACTTTCAAACATGAATATGCATGGATAATGCAATGAATTATTATTACTATTCCTTAATATTATT